GTTTTTTTATATTTAAAGAGTTTTTATATTTTTTATATTTAAAGCGAGTTTTTTGGGCAGTGTAGAGTAGGGCTTGTTTTTTGTAATTTCTCCGATCACAAATGCTGACATGGTTTTATGTTTACGCGGCGCGATGAAATGCGTAAAAAGACAGTATAAGTCATTATAATCCATAATTATGTCCCCACTGGATGCAACGAATGCCTCGTTTATAATGAGTTTTCATGTTTTTGAATCGTCGCTCCAGCCTGACAGGGCATCATCACAATATGGCAAAGGGCGTAACATTTCCGTCTCACGCTTGAGGTATTCGGCCAATCATAACTCACTGGATAGCTGGCCAATCACAGCCCACCTTGCTTTTCAGACCGATGAGCTTTGTAAAAATCAATGCGTTTCAGAAAGGCGGGGCATAGAGGAGGAACAATAATATACAGTATGTGGAAAATAATGTGTTTTTTGAACCTTAAACCGCATAAACACATTTCATTACACCAAATACACAAAATAATGTTCTTTTTAGCAACATCATATGACTCCTTTAAAGTATATTAAAAAACAGTACAGTTCTCACCTTCCTGTTGCAGGTATGGAATGAACATCACAGCCACGCTGGAGCTCAGAGACTGAGAGGAAGAGCCAGAGACGGCATGATGACTGCAACTTCTGATTCCTGTTTCAAAAACACGTTAACCATGATCAGTAGGATAGCAGGCAGTTACGTGAATGCAAAAGTCTCACAGATTGACGCAGAAGTGAGAATGAGATTTGGGAGCTATGCAAGATGGTATGATTTTCAAACGTAGCATTTAAAAAAGTGGAATGGACAAAAAAAAGGTCTTGATGCACGTTTTTTAAAAGTGGAACTTTTAGCTTGTTCTAAAAATGCAGCGTTCATTTGCGAGATAGCTGTGAAAGATGCAAGATGTGAGTGCAACAGACAAAGATGTAGATTAAGTTTACATAGGAAAATAATTAAGCAGTGCAGTCGCATGCAAAAACACATTTCCTTTAACAAATTAGCAGTGGTAAAAAGACTTTCAAGATTCAACCCCATAAGATCTGATTTTCTCTAAATACAAAAGAAAAACAGTATGTACAATCATGTACATATTGCCTAAAACAGGCCTACTGAGCATATGAGAGAGACAGAAAGACATAATATTAACCTGACAGAACGCTCATCTTCTGGGCCACAACAGTGAGCTTCCCCTCTGAGCCTGTGCAAAACAAAACAGAAAATTAGCAAAATTCTGCTTTAAATAGTGAGCTGGTTCTGGTTATGTATACGAGATCTCTTGAATTCCTAAACCAATAGTTTTTCATGATTTATCCCATGACATCCAGTCATGCATGAACTCAATAAAATGAATAATTTGACTGAGTTTATTGGTGTGCTTTTCCATGTATGTCTGGTTTCAAACAATATATTGAATATATTGAAATGATTATCGTTGTACATTATCTCTGACATGCTCAGTTAAAGAGTTTAAATCCAGTGAACAAACTTCTTGCACAAAATAAATTCAAGCACTTTCAAGGACCTGTATCTATGTATGCTTATTTTCAAAAACTTTCCAGGGCCTTGAAATATTTTTTTCAGATTCACAAACTTTCAAGGATTTCAAGGACCCGTGGGAACCCTGAATGCAGTACTATAGTCAGCTGCAAATATGGCTTGACCCCAAAAAAATTCTAACAAAAGGTTTCTCAGTGGTTTACAGTAGTATCAGATGTACTTAAAAACATACTAAAAGTTTACCAAAGTTTGACTCCAAGAAAGGCCCCATTTTCAAAATGGCGGCCATCAGGTCCTTAAAATGACCATTACTCCTTTGTATTCCTCCTAGACCAGGAATACTGGTGCCTGATACATGTTTTGGCCATGTAATATTCTAATTAGCATATTTGCATGATAGATAAGTGATTACAAGTACAATTATATATTAAAGCAATTGGTTACAAGCATATTTATGCGAAAAATAAGTACAATTTCCCTTAAGTAATTGCATATTTCTCCTTTCTCATATCGTTTTGCCTAGTGTTGGTGGTTTCTGTGGTTCATAACCATTCTTTTGATTCCAATAAAGAATAAATTCATTAGAACTGTGTGGTACTGTAAAATTTGTCAAAACAGGGCTGCCAAGTGAAGGCTCAGTACCGCTAACCCCTTTTATTTTTTTGTTTTATTTTTTTTATATATTTTTTATAATGCGTTTAGTTTTTTTTTTGCCTTTTGTTTTTTATATTTTTTTAATACTTTTCTTATTTATACATATCTTTTTCTATTTTCTTCAGTTGTTTCCTCTTATTCTGGTTTATTTTTTATACTTTTTTGCACTGTGACCTTCACTAGATTTACCATTAGTCGTCACACTCTTCCTCCCATAGAGGTTGATTATAGTGATTCTCACAATTCCCAACTTGACATGGTCCACAAGCAGGCATGCATGGTAGTCCATATGCCCTGCAACTGCACCGTTGTGTTCGGCAGGCAGTTGTGCAATTACAGTGGATCATCTGCAGGAGGCTTTCTGGGGCAGCAGTCTTACTGGTCATAACTGGCAGGAACCGGTTGTCCACCAGTTTCCATCCCCAATCCACTGTGTTCATGTCACCTTCCTTTCCAATCCACACCATGATCTGGAAGTAAACTCTTTGGCAGTGGTATTTGGTTGAGGACTCAGTTGGAGGCAGACGTTCTGGGGTAACAAATTATTTGGCGGTAACGATTTTCTTGCTAAAAAGGTTGTAGCGCAAAGAGGCAAGTGAATCAGTACTCTTTCCGCCAAACAACACTGCCATTGCCTTGGTCCCATGGTCCTCTATGACATTCCTTGCTTGATGTGGGAGCAGAAACACATTTGCACAGGACTGGATGGTTGATTCACCATTCACAAGTTTCTGGAATGCTGTCTGTTTGCCAACACTAACAATGCGTGAGTTGTATCACATCCTGTGAAGGCGTGAATAAACAGCAACTGGGAACACAAGTCACTACCCAGGACTTGTTTCATCTCACTGATGTTGTACACTTTAGTAGCTTTGGACTTGTCTGAACGAAAATAGAGGCCTCTATTGTTATTATATTTGTCGTATTTCTGTTTTGCATAAAACTGAAGAATATTCGGTACATCCTATACTGTATTCTAAAATGATCTGATATTAACTTTTGCATGGATTTTATTGAAAAGAGCTTAGGCTCATGTAACCAGAAGTTTTAAGATATATGAATATGCTTTTAAGTTTTTCTTGCCTCATGGGTTTACATTTTTACGGTGTGTCTGTGAAAAGTTGAGGTACCATCGTAGTAGTTTCGTGCGCGCGTGAACATCATGGCAACGTACAACACAAAGTACCTCACGCGGGAAACACTTAACATAACGCGTAAATGCGCGTCACTAACGTAAATCAAGCAAGCTAATATGCATAGGCCACGAAGTGTTGGCGAAATAACACATTAGCGGACCGGAGGGAATAATATGATTTTTTTTCCAGAAAACTTCTTGCACAAAATAAATTCAAGCACTTTCAAGGACCTGTATCTATGTATGCTTATTTTCAAAAACTTTCCAGGGCCTTGAAATATTTTTTTCAGATTCACAAACTTTCAAGGATTTCAAGGACCCGTGGGAACCCTGAATGCAGTACTATAGTCAGCTGCAAATATGGCTTGACCCCAAAAAAATTCTAACAAAAGGTTTCTCAGTGGTTTACAGTAGTATCAGATGTACTTAAAAACATACTAAAAGTTTACCAAAGTTTGACTCCAAGAAAGGCCCCATTTTCAAAATGGCGGCCATCAGGTCCTTAAAATGACCATTACTCCTTTGTATTCCTCCTAGACCAGGAATACTGGTGCCTGATACATGTTTTGGCCATGTAATATTCTAATTAGCATATTTGCATGATAGATAAGTGATTACAAGTACAATTATATATTAAAGCAATTGGTTACAAGCATATTTATGCGAAAAATAAGTACAATTTCCCTTAAGTAATTGCATATTTCTCCTTTCTCATATCGTTTTGCCTAGTGTTGGTGGTTTCTGTGGTTCATAACCATTCTTTTGATTCCAATAAAGAATAAATTCATTAGAACTGTGTGGTACTGTAAAATTTGTCAAAACAGGGCTGCCAAGTGAAGGCTCAGTACCGCTAACCCCTTTTATTTTTTTGTTTTATATATTTTATATATTTTTTATAATGCGTTTAGTTTTTTTTTTGCCTTTTGTTTTTTATATTTTTTTCTTATTTATATTATACATATCTTTTTCTATTTTCTTCAGTTGTTTCCTCTTATTCTGGTTTATTTTTTATACTTTTTTGCACTGTGACCTTCACTAGATTTACCATTAGTCGTCACACTCTTCCTCCCATAGAGGTTGATTATAGTGATTCTCACAATTCCCAACTTGACATGGTCCACAAGCAGGCATGCATGGTAGTCCATATGCCCTGCAACTGCACCGTTGCGTCACACTCTTCACACTCTTCCTCCCATAGAGGTTGATTATAGTGATTCTCACAATTCCCAACTTGACATGCAGGCATGCATAAAGTCTGCATATGACTGTGCAATGGCTCCGTAACTGTCACCCGTTTTCCATGCCAAGCGGTGAACCAGGGAGCCACCGTCAAGGACATAATGCTCAGTTGGTGGGATGGAATCCAGGACAGATTTGTTAGATTTCTTGCTTGAGAACTCAGTGACTGCCTGCGCTAGTTGGGGCTTGTTGGCTTTACGGAAGATTTCCTTGCCTTCGAACAGGGCTGCAGGAAATGAGCAGAGCTCATAGCGCATTACATCTTCCAGTGAAAACTGTTCAGTTTTCGACATGATCAGGAACCGTTGGAACAGCAAAGCAGGATCAATGGTTTGGTCTTTGCCAACTTTGATGGTGGAGTCATCTGCAAGGGTTTTTGCCCGGTCTTGTTGGATTTTAATGTTTTTTTTATTTATGTACTTCTGTCGACATTTTGAGTGTACTATTTCACCAGCGGAAATGTGTACGTCGTCGCCTCTTTGTACACTTGCATTGTTGATTCCGTCAGCTCCCTTCTGATGAACCTCAACCACATCAGAGCCATCTCTTAAGTTTTTAGCAAATGGGGCAAGTTTCTTGGTTTACAACATGACTCATGGTCAAAATTGCATTTGGAGTGTCTGCTAATTCAACAATGTCATCCTCTCTTAACACACTCACATTACTGGCCTTTTTCATGTGTTAGAAATCTGGGTGGGGGGGTTTAAGTAGTCAAGGATGAATTTTGTTTGAGCAAAATGGTATACACTGTGCTGCCAACAACATTTCAATGAGGCAAGCAATATCAAATGTCAGTATTCTCTTCCACCATCTTCTGAATTGCTGAAAATTGTGAATTTAGTTTTGTTGGGTTTAGTATAATGCCACCTTTATACTCAAAAACATCTATAGAGGATGCATTACATATTTATTACTTTATTCAAATTGAAATGAGTGACTATTTTAGAGGGTTCACACACAGGCCTCTGTTCGGGCTAATTCAGAGTTGTTTATTATCAAAGTTATACAACTCTAATTTAAGTTACTTTTGGGTGCAATAACTTTTACATTGAATGTCAAGTCTGTGTTTTAGCAAAAAAAGGGTATGTGTCCAAAAACACGTACTGAGTAGGAGTTACATGACATAGGCTAAATCGTTTACATCTCTGGTTCACCCCAAACAATGATAAAACCTTACAGTAATCTCACAAAATCATGTATTCCATAAGTATGTAATCATGTCAGTGCAATTTAGACAAGTCCAATGGATTCATAGACCCAGAAAACATGGGGTTAGACACCAAGATTACTTGGCTAGGTCAAATAATGAAGGAGTTAGGATATTTTAAGGGCTTCCTGCCCATCTTGGACACCATCTTGAAAATTACACCTTTCTAGTGGTCAAACTTTGGTAAACTTTTAGTATGTTATTAAGGACACCTAATACTACAAAAAACAGCTGAGAAACATTTTGTTAGAATTTTTTTTAGGGTTAGGTGTTTTTTTTTCATATATGCAGCCGCCTATATATATGCCGCCACAAATATTAGGATTTATGACTGTTATAGTACCACCTATGGTCTGATCTCCATAAAACTTTGCATGCTTGTTGCCGCTGCAATGGAGCAGCTCTAATGTTATTAAATTAAAGATGATGCAGGCTACCATAGAGAGAAAAATAATGAACAGTGAAAGTAATAAAAGACCAAAAATAAAAGTATCGGTATCGGGCGAGTACTGGAAAAAGTGGTATCGGTGCATCCCTAGTTTTGAGTCATCTATTATTAATATGAATTAGGCTACTACCACTATTACTATCTTGTACCCTGCAATAAACATTTACTCAAACTCTCTTTTATGAGATGAAGGGGGGAAAAAAGAAAAAGAAAATCGGGCAAACATATTGGCCAAAAAAATCGGCATCATATATCGGCCATCGGCTGCCCTGATTTCTAAATATCGGCATCGACCAGAGAAAAACCCATATCGGTCGACCTCGAAAACATATAGAGTTGAGTCTTCACCTTTAAGCAGAAATGCATGAGTCAAATCTACCTCAAAATGTTAATAATAAAGCCATCTCAATTACACTAAAATAACACTGACAGCAACATTCCTTCATAATAATTAGTTCTGAGCATCAACAATTGCGCTCTAATGATGATATCATGATGCATCCTGACATAAGCATCATGATGAATGACAGTGTGGTAGTTTGCGTGACTCACTCTGCATGGAGTTCTCCGGGCTGCGCAGCAGAGCTTTCTGTAACGTGGGCAGCAGCTGCTCCTTAAACTCTGCGTGAGACATGTGGCGAAGCATCGAGCCGCCCTTCTCCTGAAAACACACATCCGGCTTTAGGTTTTATGATTTCAGCACTGCAAAGACTAATTATACAACAAAGACACATCAGATTCTCACCAGGATGTGCTGATGCGGTCTGGTCTTACTCATGAGGACCGTCTTCATGTACAGGTCCAAGAAAGTTGCCTGAAACACAATAGCGTTGCTACTGTTAAAACTACATAATACTATAACAACTAATAGTAAACTAATAGTTAAACAATTAAAAATTGTATTCATTCATCAGAATAAAGCTAAAATAAAATAAAACAGAAATAACAATCAAAAACAAACTTAAAAATTTATGACATAAATATGTTTAAAGTCCCCCTGTAGTGAAAATCAAGTTTTTTATGTTGTTTATTTGTCTATGTGGTGTTTTTAATATGCTTTTAGACAAACCATGTGCCAATCCATTAATCAACACCATTGCTGAGTATTTTCTCCTTAAAACTGTAGTTTTCCAATGGCAGTCCCAGAAATGCGGTTTGAAACAGCCCTCGGTTTGCTACGTCACAATCCAATAACCAATCACGTCCAGGAATCGATTCCTATCACTAGCATTAGTGGTCGACCGATATGTGTTTTTTGACAGCCGATGCAGATATCTTGGAAAGCAGGGTGGCCGATAGCCGATATAAAGTCGATATAATTTTATTTATTTTAATTAATATTCAAGAAATTTGAAATCATTTGAAAATGGATTAAAAAATAAGTGTGTAAAATAAACATACTTATACTTTAGATGACAAAGTATTTTTCACAAATAAATAAATATTTAATAAAAATATAATTAAAAAGGAAGTAAACACTGTAACCAACAGGGCACTCAGTATTCTGGGAAGTTTGTGTGCATTGGGAATCATATTTTTTCAAATAAAGCCAAGGTAACACTCATTTTACATACAGCACACAGTGAAAATGACATGAATATGACAGTGGGCAAAAGCATGAAGCGCAGCATAATTTGAAATCACGAGTTTAAAGTTTGTCGATCGCGCGTCTCAGTGAAGCTGAACTCTTCTCCTGTCCGTATTCAATTCACACGGACCGACCGTCATGCAGAGAACACGCAATCATGCAGGATACACATTTCACACAATCTCACAGTTTGTGAAATTAAATGTTCATTATTCATTCAAAGATTTGTTTATATGATATAAATGCGTATTTGCTGAATGCTGACGGCAAACGAGAAAGTATTATAATGTTTGCCTTTCTATTACTAATAATATAATACTTTGTATACATTTTAATTCCTTTATTTAACCGTTCTATCTGATTATTAGATAGACTTCTATCCGTATTAGACAGAACTGTTAACAACGACAGTGAACAAGAGTGAGAATGGGAGCACTGTGTGTGATTCAAGCGTAGTCAAAATAAAAGTCCCGCCTCGAACACATCAACACAGAAAAACTTATCGGCTAATGCCGATATTTGAAAAATATATATCGGTCAACCACTAACTAGCATGCAAAATATACCAATACCAGCACAAAACCAAAAATAAATTAGAGCAAAAAACCCATGAAGCTGTGGTTTAATGTGAATTTAGAACCGCCAACTTGCATTATAAACCGTGGCAACAGTGTAAAAGTAGCCCCGAGTCAGACCCATCTCTCCCGCATCGGCGTCTGCACTTCACACACGTTGCTCGCGGGCGCAAATTGGATTTACAAACGGCTGCATTCGAGTCTTCAAGGCATTTTAGGACACAACATCGTCAAGTAAGTAACTTTAACGAATGCTACAGTATTCACTGTAGTTGTCCGCTAGTAAAAACATAGTTTTATCAGTCATTATCCGTGTATGCCCTTGTTTTTTGTGTTTACTACAGTTCAGTGGATCAGGAGGCGCTGGATTAATTTGCATATTCATAGATCAGCGTATAGTAAATGAGGCACGGGTGTAGTTACATTCAAGCTATTTTAAGGCATGAGAAAATTATTTTCACAAGAAAAAACATTTAAATATGTCATTTTGATGATAAAAGTTCAGTTTTAAGGGATAAAATATTTGACTACAGGGGGACTTTAAATTAAAGTACTAAAATTACTAAAACTGAATAAAGCTAAATATATAAAAATTAAAATGAAAATGGAAAATCTAAAAACAAAATCAAATCCAAAATATTAATACCATATTATCCAGAAAATAAGTCACACCTGGGTACAATTCGCAGGAGGAAAAAATAGCATTGTTGAGAGAAAAAACCTAATAAGTTGCATCGGTGTGTAAGCCACATTATTATTAAATTCAGTAATAATGTAAAATATCGGCAAATGAAACATTTACAAACTTTATAAACACTATAATCATTATAGAGGCATTCATTATAAACATAACATTTAGTCAATAATAAACAGCAAACCTATAAACAATTTTTTTTAAAAGTGAAACTGGAACTGGCGTTGGGCTCAAGTACCTCTCTTTTTCGGCACTAATCCAAATGTTTCCATATTCGCAATGTAGCCAAACATTTGATTGCTAAACTATTTATTCTGTAAACAAATTTTTTTTTTTTATTCTATTACATTATGAATAAGTCAGAGCATGTTTCATATCATTAAAAACATGACTTATATTCCAGCAAATATGGTATATATAAATATGGCAAATAATACTATTATGGTAAATAAAAATACTGAAATAACACTGAATCAGAAGCAGCAGCGCAGTTGACACATTTGACAGGTTTAGCACAGGAATGACAAGGGCTTGAGTTTTCCACCTTGTGTTTGTTGATAGTGGCGATGTCTCTCTGCGCAGAGCAGAAATCCACACACAATCCCAGCAGCGGCACAGACACACAGCTCTGATCTAAACACAGCAGAGTGCTCATGTACTGATCCACCAGACCCGGGTTCTGCAGAAACACAGACTGTCTATTCATATAAAACTATAGGGTGTCAAGTAAAACATATTACAGAAAGACTGTTATATTTAATCTGAGCACCAGTAAAAATTGATGAGACATGAGCTTCTACATTTGCAGAGAAAGATTTAGGTCAATACGATCTTTAAAAAAATTAATTAATACTTCTATTCAGTAAGGGTGCATTAAATCAAACAAAAGTGACAGTAAAGACATTTATAAAGTCATAAAAGATTGCATGTTCAAATAAATGCTGTTCTTTTGAATTTTCTATTAATCAAGAATCCTCCATAAAGATATTAAGCAGCACAACTGTTTTCAACATTGATAATAATTAGAAATGTTTCTCAGCAGGAAATCAGCATATTAGAATGATTTCTGAAGGATCATGTGACACAGAAGACTGGAGTAGTGATGCTGAAAATTCAGCTTTGATCTCAGGAATAAATTACATTTTAAAATGAATAAAATTAGTAAACAGTATTTTACAATATTACTGCTTTTTACTGTATTTTTGATCAAATAAATGCAGCCTTGGTGAGCAGAAGAGAGACTCTCTCAGAAATCTTAAAGGGGTCATATGATGCGATTTCAAGTTTTCCTTTCTCTTTGGAGTGTTACAAGCTGATTGTGCATAGATAAGATCCCTGAGAAAACGAAGCGTTTGAGAGAGGCGGGGCATAGAGGACCTACAATAATGTACAGTATTTGAAAAATAATGTGTTTTTTGAACATTAAAGCATGTCAACATATTCTGTTACACCAAATACACAAAATAATGATCTTTAAAAAAGCATCATATGACCCCTTTAACTCAAGTCTTTTTAACTGTAGTGTACGAGACTTCAGACTGAATTCATTTTGCTTTACCTCCGTCCACAGCTTATTAAAGCGTTTGCTGATTGACTTGAGAGCGTTCCCTGAGGCTCCACCCACTGCCTCCGCCAGCAGCAAACTCTGAACCTCAACCTGATTGGAGGGGACACAAAGAGAGTATGTGATTGGACAGACTGCATGTAAAGATTTTAAAACAATAATAATAAGACATACAGGTTTTGAACAATAGCTAATCTATACTATGACTAATAAAGATAGTAATGCAACTGTCTAAGAGGCAAAACAACTGACCAGTTTCTTCCAGTTGGCACCTTCTCGCTTGTCTGCGGAGGGGAAGACGGTTCGAACAATTAAGCAGGTCCAGGGAAGGGCGCAGCAGGCTCCTGAAGCTGTGCTCTTCCTGCATACATGTTTTGACATTACACTTGATTGTAGCTCATCGTAGAGTCATTTGCATCTGATAACTATAAGATTCCTGGAGCTCTATGAAATGCGTTGTATTTTCTCCCAAATTCTGTGTACTACACGTTTGAATTTTTTGGAATTCCTTTTTAACGTTTAAATTAAATTTAGTCATCAAATGTTATGTCTAAATCACTGAAATCATGAAATGTATACAATTTAACATCAATTTATTAAAAGTTTCATTTAAAAAAAATACATTTTTAGGGCCCTAGGAAATCCAAATTATTTTTCCCCAAATCCCATTTTGTCTGTTTAAATTTTTCTAAATTAAATTGTTGCAATTGAAAAGCATGTCTAATTAATTGAAATCATAAAACTTATACAATTTAACAAAAATCACATTTTTAGGGCCACATGAAATTGTATTTATTTTTTTCTCAAAATAATTTTTTTCTGGATTCAGTTTGGCATGTCTAATTAATTGAAATCATAAAACTTATACAATTTAACAAAAAATCACATTTTTAGGGCCACATGAAATTGTATTTATTTTTTTCTCAAAATCATTTTTTTCTGGATTCAGTTTAAAGTAAATTAAAGTTATCAAAAAGCATGTCTAATTACGGCATATACACTTTTACAACAATTCAAATTTGAACAAAAATAAAAATTTTAGGGCCTTACATATCCATTTAATGCCCCCTCCCCCAAATTCCATGTTTTCTGTATTTATGACTTACTGTTAAAAAAAGGAAGAAAGAAAACTTTAAATAAATAAAAAATGTAATGATATTCCTTAAAGTTTTAGTCACTAATTAGAATTTAATAATTTTAATTATCATTATTATTACTTTAATATGTACATTCTACCGTATTATAGTAATATATTTCTGTCACAGTTTTTTATATTGAAAGGTTGTCTTGAAGACCATCTGTTTGTATATATAACGTAGCGATAGTCTTTCTCAAATTAAATGGTGAAATGCTGTTAAAGTGACCGTCTGCAGATGTGCACAACTTTATGTGTTTATGCCTGCAGAAAATGCAGACTTCATATTTAAATAATCTTTTTGCGGTTTAATATTCACAAAGACTAGTTTATGTCATGATCTGATTCACTGTACAACCCCACTTTTGAATTATTCATCTAAATTTTATATAATATTAGACATTCCATGTTATATTCCAAAATAGACATTCCAAAATATTCCCGACATTCCATGTTATACTATTAAAAAAATCTATTTTTATGATTAGATTCCACAATTCTGTCCATGTTTTCCACATTACGGAAATCATAGGGCTCTGTATAAGTGTGCTCACTCACCCGGGCATCATGCCCTTGCTGACCACCCCACAGCTCAGCAGACCGGGAGGGAGATTGGTCGCAATGGCATCAGGCTGGGAGTAGACGAGCACCTCGATGACCGAGAGCAAAGCTCGCCGAGACGCAGCATCTCTGAGAGGAGAAATCAAACCCACCTTCAGTAGAAGAACATGCTTTAATGGACAGAGGAGAGGGAACGGCTCACACTCACCTGTATCTGTGCAGAGTGAGATAGAAGAGTTTACACAGTCCTTTAATGGCCGGCTCCGGAAGATCTGAGGAGAGAATTTAACCACAAAGCATTAGAGGGTTCAAATGAAAGTTATTTACACTTTCACATCATTCCAAACTCATATCTGACTGAATATGCACATGTGCGAATGCAGAGTTAACAGACACTACTGCTCAAAAGTAGTTTTATGTCTTTTGTTTTTAAAGAAATTAATACTTCTGTTCAACAAAATGGCACTAAATTGATCAAAAGTGACAGTAAAGGCATTCATAATGTTACAAAAGATTTCGATTTCAAATAAACACGGTTTGTTGATCATTTAAAAAAAAAATGTATCAGTTTCCAAAAAGATATGAAGCAGCACAACCGTTTTAAACATTGATAATAATGAGAAATGTTTCTTGAGCAGCAAATCAGCATATTAGAATGATTTCTGATGGATCATGTGACACTGAAGAGACTGGAGTAATGATGCTGAAAATTCAGCTTTGATCACAGAAATAAAATACATTTTAACATGTATTCAAATAGAAAACAGTTATTTGAAACGGTAATAATATTTCACAATATTTCTGAGTTTTTACTGTTTTTTTGATCAAATAAATGTAGCCTTGGTGAGCACAGCTGACTTTAAAACCATTAAAAAAGGTAGTGCATGACTTGGAATGGCATGGAATATAGTGAACAATTGATGCTTTAACAGTGTTTTGTCACATTTGGTCACCGTAATGCTCTTCAAAATGTCCACAGAACACAAAACATGTTATATTAGTTATTTCTTTAGTCTAATAAACTCACCCTTTCCTTTCACACATTCCTTCAACTCTTCAAGAATTTCTTTGCGCTCTTTAACGCTGGACGACGTGACTTTCACAGCGAATCTCTTCAGTGTGTCTGAAACCTGCCCCTGCAAACACACAAATATCAGCCATCAGACGCTGCTTGCTTACTGTGGCGCTGCTGATCAGACACATGCAACTAAATCAAAATATGGATATCATATTACAGTTTACTATAGTACACACCGTTACCAACACAATATTTAGCACTCATTTTATTGTTACTATAATAAAGCATGAGTTGACATTGTATTAGTCACCACTGTCATAAAACAACGATAAAAATGACTGATTGAATGCATCATATACTGACAGAAGTATATTCATTCATAATGGTTTTACATTAGTAGTTCAGGCATGCATTACATTTTTCATAAGTGACTCCTTACACAAAGTGATGGTATCAGGTGATTGTTTGATCAGTTCTATGTAACACGGCATTTTTGAAGATTACCGTGATATTACAGTGCTATATTAAAAAAAAAAAAAACCCCACAACAACAACATGGTTTTAACATGATACCATGTCCAGAAACATGGTACTTCTGGCACTTTCTTGTTAAGAGTCTGAAGTGAATGTGTGTTTGAGATTAGCAGATGCACAAATAAGTGGGTGACACGTTTAAAATAGTCTCGTTCTCTGTCAAATTACCGTAAAATCATAATGTGTGTTATGCAACTGTGCTATCATTAATGTTCAGTTTATCATTGTTAATGCACATTCATGCACTAGCGCGCACGCACAGCGTCTTCTAATATATCTGAACATCACGCGCTCACAGATCATGCATCATCTTCTTTGAAAGCTCATAAGAAAGTGGTGAGATACTGAAGAAAAGTTAGCGTTTTAATGTTAATGCAGCCACGGATCGAATCACACCAACCTGCGTGTCCGCCGCCATCTTGCCGGCCTCGATCTGGAAAGGATTTAAGTCGTCACTTCCGGAGTCATTACCGTCCTCGGCCACGTGCTTCTGCGGGCTTAAGTTACGCGGGTATTTTCTCCGTAGCGCTTCTAGCGGGCGCATCAAACGTTCAACAGGCCCGCAACTTTTAAGCATAAAAGTCTTTTTTTCCTCATTTTCAGCAAATTATCAGTGAATTAAATAAGCAAAAATTCTATTTAAATTGCCTATTCATTTGATAAAGTTTTAGCATAAAATAAAATGCTATTTTAATATTTAAATTAATATTTAAATAATTAATCTATTTAAATTGTCTATTCATTTTATAGTTTTTAGCATAAAATAAAATACAATACAATTTTAATACAATCCCGCCAAAAAGTAAAAATAAATAAATCTGCCACAAATTAAACTGTTACAGCTACACACAAAAGTATACCAATATTTTAGAAAATTAAAACTAATTCTGTACAAAAAAATAATGCATATATTTAGCACTTTGCGTCAAAACTGTGCAACTGTTATATGATTTTATTTGTCAATAGGTCTGAAAAACTTATGAAGTATAAAAGTATTTTCCCCCTCCTTTTCAACAAATCATCAGTGAATAAAATAACCAAACATTTTAAGCTGTCTATTCCCTTTCTAAAGTTTTATTTATAAATAAAAAGCTACAACAAAATCTAGCCGTCAATTATAGGAATCAATCCAATGTGGGAGGACATTAAGATTTCACATAAATTAAACAGTTAGGCTACAGTTACACACAAAATGTGAAAATTAAAACTAATTTGCTACAAAAAAAATTGAATATATTTTGTTATATGACTTTAATTGTTAGATACAGCCAAAAAGATTACTCTTTTGTGTACAAACGTCTAGGCAAAAATATTAATTTAATAATAAACAACACCAGGAGGGAAAATACTCAGTGCATTAAAACACCAGATTTATTTGTATATAATTGCATGAATTGAAACAATAACCAATACTCACAGAATAGGCTAAAATGTGACAGTGTTACAATAGGGAAAAAAATATGCATAGCTGATTTCACATTGGGTAAATGATCATATTTGCAAAGGGACACTAAAATAATGACTGATGAACAGAAATAGAAAAGCGTCAGATCAATTAATATGATAGAAAATCTCAAAATAAACAAAGGCACAACATTCGACCAGTGTAAATGAGTGATTAAAACACATTAGGATATCATATGATTTCCACCGCACCTTCTTTTGGCACATAGCGAGCAAAACAAACAGCGACAGATTATTACAATTGAGTTATCAAAGAAGGCATATTCATAGTGAATTTAATCAAACAAACCAGAACAAGTATCTTCTACTTTCTAAGTAGTGTTTTCTCAACAGATCTCTTGCACATTGGGTCATATAAAAGCTTTCATATAATAAACACGTGCTGGTATATTTATCCAATGCATGCAACGAATCATATTAGCAATCTTTGTTGACAGGCATCCAGAAAGCCACACCGTTCCAAATAGACACCAGGGACTGTATATATGTAATATTCTTGATCTGAAAATCACTTCTGTTTCCGTTTCTAAAAAATATAAGAAAGTCTTCATCGATTCACCCCTTCGTAGCTTCACGAGTTTTCAAAACTCGCCTTTTAAAATGATTGAAAGACACTTAAGACTTTCATGCAAAACGGAAAAAAAACTAAAAGAGAAAAAGAGAATTAGTAATAGTATATAATTCATCACAATATCATAATACAGCAGTTACAATATTGTCTAGAATTGTCTCTGAGAGTGAGCAAGACAATATCATCAATACTCATTTCCAATCAAATCATATACTGAATTCAAGGGTATATTGTATATATACAATATTGTCACAGCTATTTAGATGAACAATATCAACAGGTCAACAGGAGATTGACTTTTCACTTCACAAGATATTATCTGATGGACTGGAGTGCTACTTGTGGATTATTGTGATGTTTTTATCAGCTGTTTGGACTCTCATTCTGACGGCACCCATTCACTGCAGAGCATCCATTGCTGAGCGAGTGGTGCAATGCTACATTTCTCCAAATCTGATGAAGAAAACACTCTCAGTCAGTCAGGCATCTTTCTAGCTGAAGAGCTTGATGAAGCAGCCCTGGCAGTAAGGCTTCTCGTTTTGCTCTTTGAAGGTGCCCTTGTTGAGCTGCTTGAGGCAGAAGGCACAGACAAAGTGCTCAGGATGAAACTTCTTGCCCATGGCTGTGATGCAGCGGCCCGTGATGGGTTTCTGACAGCCGGAACACAGCGACCCGCGTCGGGAGTGATAATGAACCTCACAGTACGGCTGACCGTCATGCTCGAAGAAACTGCCGTTAACGAAGGGTGTGAAGCACTCCTGAAACACACACACACACACACACACACACACACACACACACACACAACAAAACCACATGACTACCCATAAACGCCTCATTATGCTTATTTATTTTTATGCCAAGAAGTCTCTGCTGCTCACTAAGGCTGCATTTATTTTTTTAAATTCAAAATACAGTAAAAACAGTAATATTGTGAAATATTTTTACAATTAAAAAAGCTGAATTTTCAGCATCATTACTCCAGTCTTCAGTGTCACATGATCCTTCAGAAATCATTCTCATATGCTGATTTGCTGCTCACATTATTTGTTTTTACTGTATTTTTTCATCAAACGAAGGCAGCAGAACCTGCTTTTAGAAGCATCAAAGAAACTGAAATTACTCCAAACTTTTGACCAAGTGTATATGGGTCAAAGACGAAAAAGGGTTTAAGCATAAAAACAATAAGTGTAATACAGCTTTAAATTGTTGTTGTTTTTCCCAAAATTAAAAAAAAAAGTTTTCTGTTTCATTTAATTGCAATTTTGTTTTTGTTTTTCCGAGCAAACAATAAATATCATACATTTTTCCTTGATTTACAGAAGACACCCACTAAAATGTCATTCAGTGTAACAATCTTGTCAGGCTTGTCTTTTATATATTTTAATATGTACATGTCAGAATAAGCATGAACAAAGAGTGAAAAATTTAAGGGGGTCTGAATACTTTCCGTACCCACTGTAGATATTGTGTTACACTGAATGACAATGTAACATTATTTCAACCAAATTTTGACATTTTATTCTACAAAAACTTATTTGAAATCTTAAAAGTAGACACTTTACTTACATTTAATGTGCTTTCTATGGACATAAAATTACGTTTGTATATTTCTTTTGATGTGGATCTTAACGACTTTGACCCATATTCAAAACTAAAGCAACAGGCCACTCAAAAAAATGAGAAATCTTTTATTATCATATACTCACCCTGCACACAAAACACTCTGGATGCCAGAGGGCGCTCAGAGCAGAGATGTAATTCTCCAGGATGGCACGAGCACAACCGCCACATTTAGGAGCAAACAGGTCGAAGTAGTCTTTACGACAGTACGCCTTTCCATCCTTCTCATGAAATCCTGAAAAACAGAACAAAGATGTATTTATAATAAGTATTCACTAATACAAACAAAAAAATAATTATTTTTAACTGTTTATCTTTTTTTTTTTTTTATTATCTATTTTGCATGATATTTTATTACAAATTATATAACCAGCATAGTTTGAGTGCAAAGTTCTTTTTAATTACAGGATTTGTTTTGTCGCCCTTTTAAGTTTAAAGGGCATCTATTATGCTTTTTAGATTTTAATGTTGCTGTTTGTGCATATAAATAATCTGCAAAATGTAAATACATGTAAATGTATTCTAGCAGACCCCAAAAATAAAATTACAAACTTGCAAATGAGCAAAATATGGGTACTTTGATGACAGCAGCCACTGGACTCTTCTGTAAGTGTTTACTCACCTTCAGGACCAAAGAACGCCCCACACTGGGCACAGAAAAAGTGCTCAGGATGCCACGTCCTGTCTAACGCCGTCACCACTTTCTGTGAGGTGAGAACAATTTAATCAGTTTTATCATCTGTAGCAGGTCGTCAATTACCACAGGAACAATAATCACTTACAATGTAAGTGGCACTAAATAAGTGGATACACAGGCTGACATAATAAACACTGGCTTTGTTCACACTGAACACAAATCCGGCCACATATAAATATGGATTGCATCGACTGAGGAAACATTATATTTTATGTGCGCATTCTGTCAAGTTTGTTCTCACATCCAGTATGGGTCCGTTACAGTAATAGCAGCGCGGAGAGAATAAATGGTGGTAATCTCTCTCACAGTATGGCTGTCCTTCCCTCTCAAAGAAGTTTCTGGAACCAATCTCCTCCTGGCAGTGTGTGCACACAAAATGCTCTGGATGCCATGTGCGCCCCATGGCAGTTACCACCTGTACAGAAACACACACACACACACACACACACACACGCATCCTTTGTTTAGATGTGTCTAACACAGCATGTAATCTTAGCTGAAAGCTAAAATCCTATATGTTTGTGGTGTAGCTCTCTGGCTCTCTCACCTGGCCAACAATGGGTTTGCAGCAGGCGCCACACACTCCCTTAGCAACCGTCTGCACTCCCAGCTTGTGGAGGTCAGACTGAAGACTGCCCAGCATGTTGTCCAGTTTATTAACCTGTGGTTGTGGACCCTTCCCCTGGGCCATAATCTAAAGAGAGATAGAACAAAAGAAATCTTCAATGCAAAAAAAAAAAAAGATACTATAACAACATAATATAGAAAATAACTGTAAACCAACCAAATCATTCTCAGAACAAATATTTACACCCCTAAGCAATACACAGGGTATCTGCAGAATTTAGAAGCTCAAATGTAAGACTTTTAAAGACCTTTTTTAAGACCTGTACAAATAAAATTAATATCATATGCCTGAGGTAGGGCAATGTCTATGGTAATATTACACTGTGAAATGACTGTAAAAACCATTACAGTTCAGATACAGGTATTCACAAAAACTAAAAGTTTTATAGACGTTTTTTGAACATTAAAGCATGTCAACATATTCTGTTACACCAAATACACCAAATAATGATCTTTAAAAAAGCATCATATGACCCCTTTAAATAACATATAAATATATTTTACTGGCTTAATCCACCAGTCCACCCACAATCCACCTGTCCTTGATCCACCAGTTCACATTTACAACTGCGTGTATGCAGCATAAAAACATGGGTTGATTTTCACATGCAAATTCGTTCTCTGCCAGCAGGTGGTGCTTTTGGAACAGCAGACATATAGCGGTTTCCTCGGTAACCACCATACACAAAGCAGCGCAGCACCTGACTTTGAAAGTGCAGAGCTTATGTTTATTTAATGAAATCAGCTTCACATTAAGCCATATGGCAATTCTTGTCTTTCCCTCCCCAAATTTAATGCTGCATTCCAGACAAACTCGAAATTCTGATTTTTCCCTCCCCCTACTTGGAAATAACATCTGAAACACTGCTTGAAGTCGAATATCCAACCTGTGAAGTTTATACAATGAGCCGCAGGGTTTAATTTGGATTTGTCTGTGCATGTTTTTTTTACTCTCATAGATTTTGTTACCATTGCCATGCATTATACGGCTGATAGACTGCAACGGTTAAAGTTAAAAATCATCATTTGTTCAGTTCTACTGAAGAAACAAAGTCACCTACATCTTGGATGCCCTGGGGGTAAGCAGATAAACATCAAATTTTCATTTTTGGGTGAACTATCCCTTTAATCTTGGCTTTTTGTCAGCTGTTTTTAAAATGAAACGCAGAATTTTATGTAAATTTTTTCTGTTTCTGACGAGACCATGTGGTCAATATGTTAACATGACATGTGATTTACTGGAACTCACTGAGGTTTGAAGTGGGACATTTAAACTCGGATGTTCCCTCTTCTGACCTTGTCTGGAACTCGCTGGCGGTGGCTGGCAACTTTTTTCAAAAATGCTGGCGGGGAAAGAGTTAAGACTTTCTTGTACCATTTAAGATTATTAATGGCCTTAAATTTGATAACTAAATTTAAGCCTTTTTAAGGACCAGCTTGAAACCCTGACTACAAGATGGTTTCAAACAGAGTTCTTGTCTGAAACTCTCCCTGGGGCGCATCTAATGTAATCTAATATTTATGACCACGGTAGGAGGCTGAGCACACACAAACACACACACACACACACACAACATCTCC